ATATGGTGGCTATTCTAGAAACGTCCGTAGCCCCAATATTATTCTAACCAAGGGCACAAATAATAGGGTAAAACTATCATAGTGTTGAATGACCTTGTCGAAAGGCAATGACAGATCTCACTTATCAAGGTTGTTGGGTGACAGCCTGGTACAACACATGGGTACTTGTTGTAGGCAAGTTCACTAGACTGACCCGCCAGATGATTTCATCTATTAAATAACCCTAGTGTCTATGGAACAAATCCTCTAACAAATGGTGGTGCATATGATCCTTAGACTTGAGATCACCAGAGCGCCTTGTGCATTGATCGGTGTAGTTTGACACTAGCCCAACGCAGTTCTATTTATAGCTGTCAATACAGTAGTGATTGGCTGCATCGAGAAGTGTATCGAGACTATGGTGGAACGACAGAAGATTTATCACTCCTGGGTACAGGAGAAGTTATCTCATAGCGTAATTCGGTTAATGACAATGACAGTAAATCTGTGACCACAGTGGGATTGAGTTGTTGCTCAATCCAATTCATTATTTCGGTCATTGGTCCAGTAACTGAATACAAATATATCGAGAGTAAACTGAGGTTGGCACTATTTCTATGCCTCAGTCTTGATGAGATAACGAATGATGAAAGGATTTGATTGTACGGTAATCATATCGTTGACAGGTAACTACTTCGCTGAATCCAAATCTATTGCATAGCCACGGGTCACACACATAGAAGATAATTTAAGAATCAGTTTGTGCAAGGGGCGTTTTCATCTTTTAGGGCGAAAGCGTATTTTGGTAATCTTACAATGCAATTAAATTTGCTGAAGTTGTTGCCTATATTTAATTTGATATTAAAATTAAATAAGTAAGATTATATTTAAATATATGTACACATATATTTAAATTGATTATTATTGTTATTAAATGTTAATGTATTTCTATAAATACATTAATTGAGTTTAATTGCAAATAATAATAATTATAATTAAAATATCATGATTGGGAGTGTCTGGATATAGGGGCTGTTTGGGTTGAAGCCCAAGTCTATTCCTTATTGGAATAGGGTTTTATGTGCACTATATAAGTGCAATGTTTTGTGAATTAAATAAAAGAATTCTTCATTCAATCACTTTTCATTGAAAGAAAAGAAAACAACCCTTTTCTCTCTATCTCACACCACCTTTCTTCATTGAATCAAAGTTTCTTTGATTCTTGATTTGGTTCTTGAAGTAAAGAGGATCTAGCAAATCCCTCTTTAGCTCTTCAGGTTATCTTCGTGTGGATTACCGTTGGTTTGATCCTACTCTTGGATTGGTAGCGAACCCAGTTAGAGACAAGTTTGAAGGAGCCTCCAAACATGCGTATGAACTCTAAGCTCTACTATGATTGTTCATATAACTGCAGCTTTTGATTTAACATATAATCTGTATAATATGCGCCTTGATCTTGGCTTTAATGGGAACGATCTGTGCTTTAAAATTTTTGTTTCCACTGCCATGAGTTAGATCGTTTCCTAACATCCTGACCATTTGACGTGGCCACATGTCAATCATCCATGAAAGTCGATCAACCGTCAGACCTCTGTAACCATAATTGTCGCCGCACGTCTCCTCAACTTCATGCAAAAGCCGGCGCAACGAAAAGTAACTGCAAAAGCCAGCTACATTTAATGCGACATGACCACATGGAAATTACTCACATGCCCCTTGTTTCAAATTCCAAGTTTATAGAGAATGTCACAACAAAGAAAAGGCCAATTGTTAGTTATGTCGAGCGAAGATGAGCCCTACTCATGAAGCTCGGTCAAATCTACATTCAACACACAACCTACGAAGTCCGAGCTTGACATCAAATCAAGCAACTAGTCTTCGAAGCTCAAAACGAGCACCGAACACTAGGATGCTGATGTTGTATGTGATTTTTCCATCAAACTCGAAGAAGTCAAAATTCTGTGAGGTTATAGCCTGACCTAGAACCAGTTCGGCTCGAATGATTGTTCGACCAAGCATAAGCTCATCGAGATATAGCTCGACCCAATATAAGCTAGTCGTGACCAATCTCGACAGTTGTCAAACAGATCATAGATAAACTCAAATTCTAGATATTTCAAAGGGGATTAGATCAACAGTAATGATGGTGCAATCTCAACGCTCAATCGTGAAGATATCGGAGTTGCATTCCAATCTTGATTGTAATTCCTTTAATTTTGCTCTTTCCTTTATACAAAACTTGTATATAAACCCCTTTCGACGATGGAAAATGGTTCAACAAATTAGTCTAGGCATTACATTGAATTTCTTGTAAGCTTTCAAAGCAAAATAAAAAAACAGTGGACGTAGGCTCAATATCATAACTTGTCAAACTACTTTAAAAACCTTTTGTGTCATTTACTTTATTACTTTTTATTCATACTTTGTTGATTATCATTAATCACGCACACATTCATTCTGATTTCATCATGATTAATCAGATCACTCTAGTTAGTGTGATTTTCGTATCAACAACTACAATTTAACAATTACATATATTTGTATTTGACAACCTTCTAACAACATAATATATAAAAATAAAAATAAGATTTTCAAGAGCGTAAAGATTCAATAAAAATACTTTGGGACTCGTGTTGTAATGCAACCATCCGACAAAATAATAAATCCAAAAATATATAGATTTTCAAAGGAATTTAAAGAGTAATAAGAAAACCCCACGTTGTCAAGATCTAAATGCAATAAGAAAAAATTAGAAAATAAAAATCTAAATGCATAAAAAAAAAAAAAAAATGATTTAAGTGTGGACAACGTAACACATTATTGAAATGGATGACGTGGTACACTTGATGTCATTCAAGATTCTTTTCTGTGGAAATTGAAACTAAATTACATAAAATATTAATTTTGGCAGCTCAAGACAATATTCATGGGCCAAATTATGTGATTGTTTTCCACAAAGTGGGCTCTTGCTTTTTACTGTTGTATTATTTAATATAGCTAAATAGTTTGATATAGGAAAACTTTTTGACTAAACAAATATTCCAAGTAATCATGAAAAATAAAATATTATCACTAAGGGAATCTCGAAAGGCCTAGTTCTTTCTCACAATGATCACGTTTTGATATATTAAAGATAAACTTTGTTATTATTTATTAATTTAAAGTTGGGAGAACGACATTTTCCCACCCAAGGTTTAGCGAAACGACACTTTTCCACCGTTCAAATTTCAAAATGACACTTTCGCACCTTTCGTTACGTTCTATTATGTTTTCTATTAATATTTGATTGAAAAGACAAAAATACCCTTAAATATTTGACTTTATTATTTTTTTATTATTTTTAATTAGTCAAAAAATAAATTTAAAAGAAAAAGTTAGTCTCACCTAAAAGGTTAAGAATAATGTTATAAAATTGTTTAAAGTTAAATGACTTTAATATTTATTTATTTATAATGTCATACATATCTCATCATTATTATTCAATAATCTACTAAATTTATAATGTTTTTCATAATATATGTTTTTATTTTTATCGATTAACATAGAAAAATCAATATTCCTAATTAATTAAATAAACAAAAGAAAAAAAAAATATCTTTACACTTGAACTAATAAATAATATAGTAAAAACTTTGATTTAACTAAATTTTAATTTATAATAAACTAATAAGAAAGAAACTATTTAAAGATATTTTTATCTTTTTAATCAAACATTAACAGAAAATACTAACAAAACTTGACGAATGGTGAAAAAGTGTAATTTTAAAACTTGATAGGTGAGAAGGTGTGTTGTTCTCCCTTTAAGGTTCGATAATTCCACAGAATAAGATAAAGTTATGGAGAACAGAACATCACTAAAGTCAGTCAATTAAATAAATTAAGTACACAAGTAACACGTTTGTGAAAAAGATCCCACGATTTCTAATGGTTTGATATTAAAGTAATTATGATGTCTCTTGTAACCCTAATTATAAGGTGAATTAATCAATGCTTATTTTTTATGAAAACAAAATAAATGATGATAATAATTGAGCTTTCTTGCACAAGCATTACATACATATAATGATGTATGGATTAGGTCATGATTAAGAGATAATTACTTACTTATTTAAAACTTTTTCAAATATTTCCACGCTGATTAATTAGCTTAAATTGACACGATTTAGATGCAATCTCTACCATTTAAAATTAATCTAATGTCTTGAAAAAATGTCAAAACTTGTGTAAAAATACAGAAAAATAATTATATCTTAACTACTGTAACGGTTTATTTAATAGAGTAACATCATTAATTATATTAGTTTACTATCTAATACTTGAGTTGATCGTATACTATTTCTCTAGCTCTAGAAATATAGAAGAAAGGAGTATATGTACCAATGTCTACCACAGGATGCCCAAGCCATAATTGATGAGAAGCTACATGATTCAACTCCAACACCTAAATATAACTATACCTTTAAGGTACTTGAATATTTTCCAACAATTTTTGTCTTTGCAAAGGCAATGTTGAGCCCTGAGGTCAGGCCCCTATATCAGAGTTCTTGAAATACACCGACGCAGTTTGCATCGCAGGATAATTTGTAATACCTCAACGCACATTGTGTTGGAGTATGGAGACTTCTCCAATCCAATCTGCCCGTGTCGGGGCATCACTAAATAATCCAAATGTGGACGAATGTTGTATTATATAGTTGAGTGATTATATATAACAAATATGAAGAATGTTTGGGAAGAGAGGAGGAAATATAAATATAAGGGCGAATTTGGAAATATAAAATATGTATAAAACTTTGAACAAGATAATTTTAGAAATTGAGACTTGATAGGATATAAGATAAGGTTTAAATAACATCACTCATGTTGCAATCATGACAAATAGATAGTAGAAAAACGTTAGAAAAAAGGCTCCCGTCACTATGAATTGATATCTGTCTCTGTACATAACTCATAGTGAACTGATTTATTCATTGGATGTTGATGGCTTCTCGTCAACAAGTACTATAAAAATTTGCCAAGATTCAGGAATTAAACACTCAGAAAACAGCTATAATTAATCATCAGCTTTCTCAAGAATGTCCTCTTCCTCATCACAGCTGATTATGGCCTCTTGTTCATCACAGCCAATGGGTAAGTTATGTAGCAAGTAGAGAATCACAACGAGATTTCAGAAGTAAACAAATAATTCTTGTTAAAATTTTCTTTGTTTGTATGTTTTATCGCAGACGATCTCACACGGTACATGCCACTGCATAAGTATATACTCGAAGGCGACTTGGAATCGGTAAAACGAGACTATGACTGGGATAATCATGCTTTAGAAGCGAGAATCACCGCGAACTTGGACACAGCACTTCATGTAGCAGTTGGGACAGGCAGAGCGAATCGAATTGTGGAGTATCTATTGAATAAGATGTCAAAAGATCAAGTGGCACTGCAAAATAGGGACGGCAACACGGTCCTCTCTATCGCTGCTATCGTTGGCAATATCCAAGCAGCAGAATTGCTCGTGAAAAAGGATGAAAACTTAAATAGAGTTGCAAACTACTGTGGGTGGATACCTTTGATTGAGGCTGCTCAACATCAGAAAAAAGAGATGACTGAATATTTATTGCAATTCACCGAAGGTCTTTTTGAGTCTGAAGAAAATGGTTCTACAGATACAATACGTGTTCTCTTCATGAATTTTCTCATAGGTGCTAAATTTTACGGTGAGATAATTTTCTCATAGCTTATGTATTATTATTTTTGTTCTTGTTGAAACTGATTTGACTTTAATTCTAAATTTCTACACATGATTGTCTCAGGCTTGGCACTGGAATTGGTTAAACTTCATCCAAGTTTAGCTACTATGGTGTCATCTGATGGAGAGTCTCTTTTGAAGGCAATAGCTCGAAAGCCATCTGCATTTCCAAGTAAAATAAGAAAGCTAGATATTTGGGAACGTTGTTTTAGTGAGTCTATAATCACGCAATTTTTTTTTTTTTTTTTCTCTTCTATCATCTATTATCTCATGTTCCGTTTTATTATGGTATTGTTTAATTAGTTTGTTCAATTTGCAGCTTATATTTATTATATGGGAAAACAAAAGGCAGCATTGATGCATAACACACCACTTAAACTAGTTCAATGTCTGTGCAAGGGAATTACAAGACTAGACCATGAAAGAGCCTCCTCACTTCTCAAAGAACCGCTGCTTTTAGCTGCAGAATTGGGGATTATTGAAGTTGTGGAAGTGATTCTAAAGACATTTCCTGATGCAATCTCGTTTTCAAATGAAATGAATCATAATGCATTCCAATTAGCGATTATGAACCGTCACGACAACATATTCAACCTCATATTTCAAATGAGTACTGCTCACAGAAATTTATTGGTGATGTCTAAAGACATTTGTGGTAATAATATCTTGCACTTAGCTGGAAAACTGGCTCCGCAGGATAAACTAAATCTCATCCCTGGTGCAGCTATGCAAATGCAGCGTGAGATACAATGGTTTAAGGTAAAACTTTTGACTCAAACTTTATTGTTAAGCAAGACTAAGATTCTTAATTTTTACACAAGTTTGCCCCAAGGGTTGAGATATAAATTTGGGATCTTAACTTTGTATGTTTAGTATGATACTGTTTACTGCTATACGTTTATGTCAGCAATATTTGTTTAAGAAACTATTGCTGTTTGTTTTATACAGGAGGTAGAGAAAATTGTACCCCCTCGCTACAAACATGATAAAAATTTGGAAGGAAAAACTCCGAAAATGGTATTTAGTGAGGAACATAAGGGACTGGTTAAAGAAGGTGAGCACTGGATGAAATCGGCTGCAACCTCATCCTCAGTAGCAGCAGCACTTATTGCTACTGTAGTATTTTCAGCAGCAATTACTGTGCCTGGTGATTACGACGATGGAGGCAAACCAAATCTTAACAAACAGATAACCTTCTTGAGTTTTGGAACTACGGATACAATCTCTATGTTCTCATCACTTGCTGCCATCATAATGTTTTTGTCCATCCTCACATCACGCTACACAGAAGCTGATTTTCTTTATGCCCTTCCCATGAAGTTAATACAATGTCTTGCTTTATCGTTATTCTCTGTAACGGCGACGATGGTAGCCTTTGCTACCGCTGTTTATCTGGTGTTCTTCGGCAATAATTTGCGTGCAATAGCTTTAGTGGTTGCGTCACTTTGTCTGCCCATCTACTTATTTGCTTCTTCTCAGTACACCCTCTTAGGTTACTTACTCCTTTCCACATTTCGGCCAGGCATTCTCCGCAAGCAAACCAAGAGTGCCCTCTTAGATTTAATGTATGTATGAGAGAGTGATCATTGGATGATAAAACATCTTCATCCTTGTATTTTATTGATCTTGGCAAAGACTACTAATATTGTGTTCCCAACTAATGGATTGTGAGCTGAAGTTAGTAGTGTGGAAAGGTAGTTTAATGAACTTTGATTTTCATGTCAGTTTTCTTTCTCTCTTCTCTCTTTCTCTAGTCCTTCCAATTATCCGCATACTTTTCAATTTCGCTTGACAGCTTATAACTTTGAAACTCATAATCAGATCCTCAGCACCTTCAGGCAAGAGTTTATGATCCAAAACTGGTAATGGGAGCTCTACTAAATTTACCGGGGAAGTTAAATTTGATGGAATTTCAGAGTGTCTTGGATATTTATATGAGTTGAAATAAAGGACTAAAGTCTAGCCTTGGTGAAGGCAATGTAGAGTTGACGAGAATGCCGTCATATGGCCAAAGGCGGACTATGGAAGCATCACTAGATGAATGAATATCTCAAGCTTAATCTGTTTCTTCTAGAGCTAGATTGCAGAGTGAAAAACAGAGGAAAACAGGGAAAGAACAAAATATTCTTCTATATACTTGTTGAAATCCCTTTGCGAGTTTCCCACACCTAACCCTGACATCGTTGAAAAACAGTTAAATATGGATTTTTCGCCATATAGGTGCCTATGAAGGGATCAAATCCCGGACCTTGTAGGAATAAATCACTAGTCTGACCATCCGACTAAGTCCTCTTGGGTAGAACCGATAGATGAGACTGAAAGTAATAAAAAAAAAATAAAAAATCAATGGCTACCGATGATATTGTCTTTGATAACTTGAGGCTAGATTTAATTCTTAATATCTACATAATAATTTATTAATACAAACATATATCATCAAAATAATTAAGGCCGAAATACATTTTTCCACCCCTAATCTTGTCTGAACAATATTTTCCCACTCAATATGATTTTTGATTTTCCATTCGTTAAAAAGTAACAGCAGAGGGGCAATATGGTCATTTTGCTTGATTTCTTAGTAAACTTTAGCTAAGCACACGTCACATGTACTTTTACTTGGGGAAAAATAAATAAATAAATAAATATAACAAAATTACAGAAAAGTTAATGGCCAGCGAGGCACCTAGTTAACGCTTGCCTCGCCGGCGTTGGCCTAGCCAACATTTGGAAGCAAACCCATCAATAAGCTGACTAATTTTGTATGAGGCAAAGTGTTTAAAGTCTACTTGCTTTTGGACACAGTTATTGATTGGAATTGGCCTCATAATTTTGGTGGAGTTCGGAGAAAAAGTTTAAGAAAATGAAGAAGTGGTTGCCTTTTCTTCTCTTTGTTTTTGAGAGATAAAGTATGGTTACCTCATTTCGCCGGCGATTAAAGTGGGCCACGATCTGGCCGGAGCCGCGCGGCTTGGCCGCTTATAGCGTGAAATATAAAACATTTGTGGTTATTTATTAATTTTATCAACTTAGGGTTGTGAAGTAACTTATTAATTTAAAACTTATCTGAATTTGTGGTGGTCAGTTTGCCATTTGTAATTTCTTTTTGAAGCATTTATATATTAATATTTTGTTAAGAGTAAGTTAATGGCCAAATTCATGTGGTGCAATGTAAGTCGCCGTCAAATTCATGTTGGAAGACTCAATTATTGATGCTCAATTTTCTATATGCAACGTTCACATGTTTTCTACATGGTGGCCCGCCTTGTCGGTGGATGCAACAGGATAGTCAATTTAGTCTCGATAGGTTTTTGTGTATGTATAGTATTTGTGGTGGTCCATGATTTAACAAAAATTCTTGATATATTATTTAAGAAGTTCTGAATTTGATTTATCACGATTACTAATAATAGTGTACGTATAAGAAAAGTTATTGAATTAATAACACAACTTATAGGTAGATAGCAGAAAGTTAAGTTATTGAATTAATAACACAACTTACAGATAAGTAGCAGAAAGTTAGAACTTGAAGTACATAGAAATTTCAAGCAACCAAATAAACAAATTACAAGTATGCAATTTTTTATGAAACGCGACATGGACTTTGTAAAACAACTCTGTAACTCGGATGGACATGCGTTAGAAGCCAAAATTACGGTAAAGGAGGACACAGCACTCACATAGCAGTTGGCACAGGCAAGGCGAATCATATTGTGAAGTATCTCTTGACTAAGATGTCACAACACCAACTAACGCTGAAAAATAAAGAGGGCAACACGTTACGGCTAGATTTGAATCGTGTTGAAAACAACTGTGGCTTTATACCTTTGATTGAAGCTGCTCAAAATGGCCACAAGAAGATGATTCAGCAAAAATATTCTGAAGGCTGACGGAAGTTATTCTAAATATGGTTTTCCCTTTCTGAAATCGCTTATTGACGCTGCATTTTGTGGTAAACTTAATTCTTCCCCTCGTCATTATGGATTACCGATTACTTTTTAACTCTAGCGAATGTCACATAGCATTTGAATTTATTAATATATATATTTAAATTAGAAATATAAAATTTATTCTAAATCCTGTCCATCTTTATGCCTCAGACTTGGCACGAGAATGGGTTGAAGATAATAGATAGTGGTGAGTCTCTTTTGATTGCAACAGCCAGAAAGAAGTCAGCATTTCCAAGTGGCTCAGGCAATTTTGAAAGCGAGTATATATCTTACACAATTAATTCTTTCTCTTCCCTTTTTTTTTTTTTTTTTTTTTTTTTTTTTTTTNTTAATTAAATTAGCAAACCTAGGGGGTTTTTTAGAAATTTTTAAATTTATAAAAAACAAAAATTGAAACTTTGAAGGGCATTTTAGTCTTTTCACTATTAATAAACAAAAATCACTAACAGAATATGACGGAAGGTACCTATTTATCGTTTCAAAACCTTTTGAGTACTAACTTGTCATTACAGTAAACTTTGGGTATGTACAAGTCGTTCGCCCTTAGTCTCGAGAAGTTTTTGTCTATGTATAGTAATTGAAAGAACTTGCAATTGCTATAGCCTATCCTATGGTGTAAAATATATATGATCAATCTTTACTATAAAGTTTTAAGTAATTAGTAAAAAAAAAACAATTATTAACATATTTTGTTAATTCATCATTGATTGCTGGTTAAAAAAACCTTTAAAAAGTATATTTTATTATTAATTAATACTTTGACAAAATAATTAAGAAAAATAAATAATTTACAATTGATGATGATAATAATAATAAAATGATGTGAAAAACTATCTTTTCAACCACCTTGGGTGAAGACTTGAGTGAAGACTCTTAATATATTATTCAAAAAGTTCTAAATTTAATTTACTTCAATTGTTAATTACCATGCGCGAGATATAGTGTACGTATAAGAAAAGTTATTGAATTAATAACACAACTTTTAGGTAAGTAGCAAAAAGTTAGAATTTAAAGTACATAGAAATTTCAAGCAACCGGATAAACAAATTACAAGTATGCAATTTTTTATGTTTGTTTGTTTACAGCAGACGATCTCAAAAAATACCTGCCACTGCATAAAGCTATACTGAAATGCGACTTGGACTTTGTAAAACAATTCTATAACTCGGATGGACCTGCGTTAGAAGCCAAAATTACGGTAAAGGAGGACACAGCACTTCACGTAGCAGTTGGCACAGGCAAGGCGAATCATTTTCTGAAGTATCTCTTGACTAAGATGTCACAACACCAACTAACGCTGAAAAATAAAGACGGCAACACGTTACGGCCAGATTTGAATCGTGTTGAAAACAACTGTGGCTTTATACCTTTGATTGAGGCTGTTCAACATGGCCACAAGAAGATGATTCAGCAAAAATATTCTGAAGGCTGACGGAAGTTATTCTAAATATGGTTTTACCTTTGTGAAATCGATTATTGACACTGGATTTTATGGTAAACTTAATTCTTCCCTTCGTCATTATGGATTGCCGGTTAGTTTTTAACTCTAGCGAATGTCACATAGCATTTGAATTTATTAATATATATTTAAATTTGAAATATAAAACTTATTCTAAATCCTGTCCATCTTTATGCCTCTTGACTGTCTTGCTATTATCCTTTTAGTGCTCTGCAAGTGTTGCTCTACGTAGAGAACGATGATGCCATCTAGCACAAGCTAGACTCTCACTCAATAATGAATTCATTCATTGGAAACTTTTCCGGGTGATTAAGGTTTGCGGTTATAGCGAAATTTGAAGGGAGAAAGTTGAGTTTATGTAGAAATGTAGACAATAAATAGACTTGGGGTTTTACTTTGGGTTGAGTAGGATATTATTTATGAATTTAACAGACGTTTTGTTTTAATCAAGGATTTTTTTTTTTTTTTTAAAATTTTTTGTTTTCTATGGTTTTTTTTTTTTTTTGTTTTCTAATTTTTGAGTGTTACTCAAGTTACAGGTCCACTCAACGATCTGAATTGTATCACCTGGCTAAACTTGGTGGAGTAAAGTAAAAAATTGTTTTTGATTGCTACACTGTATCATTCCACACACAAGGATAGCGCGGATTATTTAAAGGTTTTTAAGCTTGACGGAGGGAGATCTAAGTGTGAAATTCGGGCTCACCTCTACACCAATAAGTAAACGGTTGCCAATGCACTTCAATTTAGGTAAGTTACTGATCATCAATTTGGTGACTTTATAAATGGAAGGAAGATACCAGGCTGATCCTCATACAATCTGTTATTGAGAATTGGCCAACTAATAAAGCAGAAAAACCATTTAACAACAATGAAAAATAGACCAATTCTTCAAAACATTCTTGCCCTGGTTTTTTTCACCATTACTTGATGCATATAACAAGTCCATATTTAAGCCAAAATGATGATTGGTGCATTGGACATAAGTTATTATATTAGTTTGCATCGTAACAAGTCTATATTAATTTTTTCTTCCTCTGTTTTTTACTCTGAAATTCCCCTGTTTCTCATGCTTCAGCGCCAGAACATTGTTGTTCGTCACCGATGTTAGCACTAAAGGCTAGATCGGCTAGTAACATCTCGTCCGAACCGGTTGCCATGTCGCTAACTCTCAATTCCAACAACTCTGCTAGTTTTTCTTTATTTATTTATTTATGAGTTTTTATGTCTTTTAATGACTTGTTTAATTATTTTAGACATATGGATTTATGTTTATTTGGGTTGGTGGATTTTGGGAAAATGAAGTGGGAAATTTTGAATGACTAGACTAAATGCCTTCCGTTTTTCATCTCACTTTTTCGGAAAATTTGTGGGAAAGTAAAAGAAAAATTAAAAATGATCTGAGACTGACTTAAGTTAATGCTGCCGGTGGCTGAATGATTACAAGTTTAGTGCTTCCCTTCATTACTTTAATCATATGATTCCTCTAATTACTTTATCAACAAAATAAAATATTATTTATTGCCCATAGATTGAGTTTATATTCACAAACACATCCAATTTTTAGATTTGGAGGGCAATTAGATGATTACTGATCAATATTTCATGTGTTTTACTTTCAAATTCAGGACTCGAGAAGCAAGTCTGATATATATATATATTAATTTCAAACTCAGATTTGCAAAGTAAGTTCAAGAGATCCCAAGAAAGATAAATTTATTTTTTCTGATAAAAAGAAAGTTGTTGTAAGGTTAGAGAAGGCTCATGAAAGTTTGCCAACTTTTTGGAGACAATAACAGAGAAAAATCACAAGAAAATTTGGTGGGGTTTCTTGTAAGCTCCCACTGAATTTGGCTGAAATTTCATCAAGTTTTTCACTTTATGGGTTGAGTTTGTCAAAATT